TAGATAAATATATCATAATATTTTTTTATTATAATCGTATTTTATTCTTATCCAAATTAATAAAAATAATATTGTATTGTTATTTATTTTAATTAAATTAAAAATTATAAATAAGTTAAATTATATTTTTAAATTGAAGGTAAAATTATATTAAAAAGGAGTGTCAAAAATTAAAATTTAAACAAATAATTAAAAAATATTAATAATTTATTTATTTTTAATTTTAGTAACTTTAAATTTATATTTACAATAAAAAAATTATTTTATAACTATATATATCACGTTTTAGAAAAATAGTCAATTTAGATATTTAACATAATAATTAATTATTATATCTATTTTATCAAATATCATTTTATTAACTCCTACTATTTTTTAGTTAAATTTACAAATATTCTTAAATTTTATATTTCGGTGGTTTTAAATTTTTTTTATTTTTTAAATAATATTTTTTTTAAGCAGTAGGTTGCACATAGAGGCGGCAAAATTCCACTTATAGTCCTGTATGTTTGCTTGCAGGACAGATTTCATTCTGTATGTATTATGTGGACACATTTAGTCCTACAATTTTTCTAATTACCCACATTTGGTCCTGCCAGCCATTGGACCATCAATTCTCGCGGGAAAAAAAGAATTATGCGATTGCTGGACGTATAGCTCATGACCATGGCTAGGAAATAAAGGGTTTATTATGTTGTAATTTTGCAATTACAAGATATGGAGTAGAAAACTAATAAAATCTTTATTTACTATTAATCAATATATTATAACGGAATTATATTAACAAATATTTTACATCAACTTACAAAATGATATAGTGTGTTTCCTGACTGATGAGGGCAAAAATTTCTTCTACATCAACTTACAAAATGATTCAAAATAACTCAAAAAAGTTCAACAATTATCCAACCCATCAAAAAAGAAATTTTGCAGCTTCAAAATCATTAGTCATGGTGCTTGCATCTGAATTTGCAACAGGCCTAAAATATGTTGCTCATGGTTGAAAGTGGACTCTCAATTGCAATACTGTCATAGTATTTTGGGGTGTTGGAATCCAAGATAACTGTGGATTGCAAAACTGAGACTCCCCTGCTCTTTGTGGAATTTGGGTAGATGCGTGTGGTTTAACATGAGTCCTATCTACTTGTGCTCCTAATGAGGTACCTACTTTTGGTACCACTCGCCTTACACCTGTTACTCTTGATCGTTGAATTTCCTAGAAAAATCAGTCTAATTAGAAAATTTATATCAAATCATTGAACAAACATACAAATTAAATTTTTATGTCTATTCTAATTCCATATGCATTTTTTCCACAAGAATTCAAATTATAAAAAAAAAATATTCAATGCTAACAAAAGGAAAAAAATAAAGGTGAGTGCTTACCTGCCTTCCTTTCATAACAACTCAAATCATCACAAAAAAATAAATAAATATTCAATGTTAATAGAAAGAATAAAAAAAAAAAAGGTGAATGCTAACTTGCCTGGGCAAAAACAAATTGTGTTATTGCATTTGATCCCACTAGTCTTACACTTCCTATTCTTTGTCTAGGTTGTTGCACATTCTACATTAAACAAACCATCAAATTCTTCTTAGAGCAATTAACAAATGCATAAATTTTGATTTAATTTAAATTAATTACTGTAGACTAACCTTTACAATTTTAGATGCAGTGCCAACACTTGTAGCTGCTACTTTGGTCTTTTTTCTCACCTGCACATTGAAACCAATTAACAAAATGCAAATATTAAAATCATAGAAGATTAAGCCATTTCACTTTTGTAATTACTCACATTTAACTTCATAGCAACTGATGAATGGTCAATTGATTCACCAAACACATTGATATTGGCACTTGTACGCGAGTCAATTGCAACATCTAGAAAGTATTCTGTTAAGGAAGACTCTTTTTCTACTGAATAAGGGTTTGCTTCTGCTAGAGAAGGCTCATTTTCAGCGTCTTTCTTCCTTATAGGACAAGTCCTGGAGTTGTGCTTCTCATTTCCACATAACTTGCATTTAATTGTTGATTGTTGCCTCTTCATTCTTGACATTTTCTTTCTTCCTCTAATACCTTTCTTTTGCTTCAATTGAGGCTCATTAGCTTCTCTCCTTCTTGCTTTCTTAGGCCTTCCAGCGCCTCTAGCAAAGTTAGGAGGTAAATGAGGTATATATCCACTTTTTTTCCCACAAAGATAGCCCATTTATAGGTTGTATGGCTGGCTCATATACTTGCAAAAAAGTTTCCACTTTATAATAGTCATGGACATAATCTTAATAGTCGTGACCTTGATTGAAAATTGCACTAAATCCATGAACACAAGGGACACCTGTGAAATCCCACATCCTACATGAACAACTATAATTGCCCAAATCAACTGTGAATTTTGACCCATCGAAGTGTGTTATTTCATAATGCAAGTCATCTGCCTTTCTAGGTATACAATCTGGAACATGAGCTATTCTTTGGTCAATAGTTTCTTGTATCCTAGGACAGAATATCTTATCACCCCATTTTTCATTGGCCCTATCTCTTTGTTTTTGTAGCCTTGTCATTAAATACTCTCTTATCCATTCAAGCATAGTTAAAATAGATTTCTCCCTAGCTTCTACAATATTACCATTGAAAGTTTCACAACAATTGTTTAGAAGCATATCACATTTTGGGTATGGAGAAAAATGTGATTTACTCCATTGCTCGGGGGGCTTATCATTCAACCACGATGCAGCATTTTCATCTATTTCTGCAAGGTTTGCATTCTAAATTGAAATTCTGCTATTGTTGTTGCATTAGCAGCTCTCCATAGTGCTAACTGTAATGGCAAACCTTTGAAACCAGCTCTATTGAAATTCTTGTATAGGTATTGAACACAAAATCTATGATTTGAGTTAGGAAATACTGTTTGAAAAGCTTGGATGAGGCCCTTTTGTTTATATGATATGAATGTGTACTCATGGTCCCTTTCAATCACTAAATTTACCATCAATGTATTACTTCTTCTAAATTTATTTCTTCAAAACCTACTCCTTCAATCCTTTCCACATTGTCAACTAAATTCCCCTCTAAACCAGTATTAAACAAATTTTCCACCCTCACAAAGTTAGAGGATCCCACTTGACTTTCCAACATTTCAAAATTAAATGACCCAACTTTACTCATAACATTGTCAAAAACACCATCAATGTATATGTCAACTAATCTAGTATCATAACTTGCCAAGCACATGCTCACCACCTCATCAGCTCCCAATATTAACTTAAAACCATTATTTTCAATTCGAAAGTATCTTTTTGACCCAATTAACCCAACTTCATTAGTCAACTTATCAAGGAAATCAACAGTAACAATATTTATGTCAACATAATCATATATCACAGCACTGCCTCCAATATATGTTGCACACGGTACGTTAGAAAACTCTCCACCATAGTGAAATTTAATCGTTACTACAGGATCTATGTCACCTATGCAAAGAAAAAATATAAAAAAGACAACAATTAATTCCAACTATACTGCAAACATGGAGCAATATAAAGAAATATATAAAATTTGCATAGAGAGATTAATAGGCTTCAATTATAAATTGACTTCCTAATATCAAATTGATTTGGCCAAATTTCAGGTAATGTCCTAATTATGAAGCATGAAATTGTTCTGAAAATTTCATTCATGAGAGAAAAAACCAACTAAAGAAAATTGTCCAAATGTCTAAAACCAACTAATTTTATACTCAACATTCTGGAAACAAATTAAAAAAACTAAATAAAGATGTAGGCCATTGTCTTGCAAGTTATCTTGTCCACCATCACTTCCACTTACTGGAAAAAGAAATACATTAAAAAGTTCTAATTTAAAAAATTAAAATCTCTAAAATTCTAATAACAAGAAATATTCTCAAAATTCCGAACAATTTAAAGTATAAAAGTCTAGAATCCATAGGGTGCCAAACAAACTTTTAATCCTAACGACATTTATGACTTTGTTACTGGAGCTCCTATTTACTTATTTTTGACTCTTACACAACATTTGCATGAGCTATATATACTGTCCAAGGTGCAAACTATAATAGCATCCTCAATAACCATTTCTTAGAGCATAATGTTTTGAATGCACATGGTATAAGAATGCTTAAAATGTCTTTTTTTTTTTATTTATTTTCTCTTTATGGTTTTCATATGTTTTTGTAACGTGTCTTCTATTTTGGGTGTTGAAGAGTGCTGAGCCTTTTGCATATTTGTTTTGGGTGCTGAAGAACTCTTTCCCTCCCTAAAATCTTGAAATCAATTTACAAGTTAAAGTGAAGAAAAAAAATTTCTTACTGTAGTTGGGCCTTAGAAATAAGTTCAAATCCCTCCTCCGCAACATATTAGCCAGAAAATCAAAGCAATCTGGTAGCTCTCGCCTTGAGCTATATACAGTTACAAAATAATTTACATATAACTCAAAAAGCCCTAATCACTGTATGTATTTATGCATAAAGAATGTTATGAAAAAAATTATAGAAAGCTTGAGAACAATTGTATGGTTTACCTTGCTATTCGAGGAAGACGGGGTTTGCTGTGTATGAGGAAGAAGTTCAACTATATTTGCCTTTCGATCTTGCTGTTGGGAGAAGAAGTCCGACTGGATTCCAGTTATTTGAGAACGAAGAGTTCCATCAATAGTGTTAAGGTATGCGTAGAGCTTGGATGCATTTTTATTCACTGATAAATTGTCCACACGTATCAAGGCTACTGTCAAGAAATGACTCATTTACAGTGGAGTAGAGGCATAGGTCTAGAGACCTAGTTTTCCCTCTACAATTCACGCGGGAGTTTTCCCTCCTCCCACGTGTGGGTGAGTCTATTAATTTTCCAATAAGTAGAAAAATTGTTGGCAGAACCAAATGTGGCTCACCGTGAAATTTATAAGACTAAATATGGGTCGTTAAAAATTACAAGACCAAATGTGTCCCATTGTAAAACTTATAGGACCATTTGTGGAATTTTTCCCATAGAGGCCCAATATCAATCAGCTTCCGGATCGGTTGCACCGTATATCGGAGTCGGGGCTATGGGGGGAATTAGCCATCTCGGCCGTTGAAAGACGTTGCCTCCGTCTCTGAACTCCGCCAAGCATTGACGATATGGATCTGCTGCTATCAGCGTCGCAATTCTCTGCTGCTCGCTTCCTCCGCCCTCACCCTCCTCCTACACAACTTCACCACTTCTCGCGGCCCCTCACCTTCGCCGTCAGGTCGAGCCTTCCGTTTTCCGAGCAGAACGCTAAGCACCACAAGGAGCTGGTTGCAGCCCTCGATGTCGTCAAGAGAGCCTGTCATCTTTGCGTGGACGTATTTCTCTACCGCTATTTTTTTTCCCTTTATTTAATGACTGTCCCGCCTGACCTATGGCATTCCTTGTTTGTTGCACTTACATTTAGTTCATAACGAGGCTTGATTTTTATTCCTTCACAATGCCAGGTGAAGAAGTCTTTATTCTCAGGTGATGGAAGCGTTCTCGAAAAGAATGACCAAACTCCTGTCACTATAGCTGATTTTGGAGTTCAGGCTCTCGTAAGTTTGGGTGATTTTCTTTCTTCTCTTCTTTTGATTTTTCATTTAGGCATTCCACTTTAATTTGATGTTCATCCAAAAATAAGTTCCCGAAATTCCCAATTAAATAGCATTAGAGTGCTCGTGATGCTGATTTTAGGGGGAGGTAGACGCAACCTAATTTCGGCTGGGATAAGAAAAAGATGCAGTTTTACTTGGGGCTGTACCTTACACTGACCTGGAAGGTGGCAGAGATTCATATATCTAACGTCAAGAAATTATGAAAGTTTAATATATATGAATTTTGGTTTAGTTTTATTAATCAGTACTCCAACAGAGTTTTTCTAATAAACCCAATTGTTGAGAATCTATCTTTTCACACTTTTCTTAGCGAAATAAATATATTAACCAATTGGATGGAAACAAATCATAAATGATGACCGGCTAAACCATCATGCGTATTTTGGTTGCTTCTGCAATGAGGTTTCCCTTGTGGTAAATTTATTAGAGGAAGAAACTGATATGCAAATTGCAAAACATTAAATTATCAATTATCAAATGTTAAATATTATCCATAGAATTAATTTCACTGTAGGAAAACATTTGGAATACAATTTATATTTTCAACATCGAGGATATTAATTTCTGAAGGGATACCACATGTGGGGCTTCCTTTTGTTGCAACTACTATTACTGCATCTTATATGCTGCCAATAGCTGGCATCATGTCTGAACTGGTCTCTTAATGTCCATAGCTAATAAACTGTAGATTGATTGGATTCACCTGAAACCTGGCTTGCTGCTTTGTGATATTGGTGCTTCAATCCAGCGACCCCTCCCCCCCCTCAACAAGTGAACTCCCATCCTTGTGTTAATGTCAAATTAAATTTTACAAATTTTTTATTGTGGGTTAAACGTGTCTCAAATCAAATCATGGAAATAAATAAAAGGTAGTTATTAAGCTGGGATTAGATCTAAAAACTGCTTCTTCAATTGTCTTCTTAACATGAGTATATGATAGAAACTGAATGTGTGCTTGTTTCCCTTTCTTATTTTCTGCATTTTGTTTTCTTTACCGTGAACAGAGCTTGGCAAAATGTTTCCTTCAATTCCATTGGTGGCTGAAGAAGATTCTGCATTCTTGCATTCAAACAACCTGGTAAGTTCTGTTTTAAATGCAGTTACAGATAAAACCAGTTTCAGAGATAAGCAATTGACGGAAACAGATGTGCTGGAAGCAATTGATAGAGGGAAGGATGAATTTTCATTTGGATCTAAGCCTGCTACTTATTGGGTAAGGCTGTTAAATCTTTATTTTATTTTCTTTTTCTAAATTGCAGAAAAATTTTATTGAGATAACAGAAAGTTACAAAATAATTTTCTACACCATATGAGAATTGAATCCCTATTGCATGTGGATTTTTTTAAAAAAAAATTTCCCTACTGAAGAAAATATTGTTTTCATTTTAAAGAAGTTTTTTAAAACTTTTTTACTTTTCTAGACTTTTCTATAAACTTTTTACTTAAAGTTTCTTCAGGTTTCTTACATTACCAAGCTGTGTGCAGGTGCTTGATCCAATAGATGGTACACGGGGGTTTGTCAGAGGTACTGACGTATTATATGTGGTAATTTACTTGTCAGTCATCATGTTTCATCCTTCTTTTTGCTTCGTTCTATATGTTTGCTTTAGTTTTCTCAGTGTTTTTTGAATTCAGAGTCGGCAAAAATCAACATTTGCTGAAATATAATCAGTAATTTGTACTGACATCTAGGTTGTTCATCAGACAATTGCTATGTTTTAGTTTTTAATACGTGTTTATTGCCAGTGATAACTCCATGGATCCTGACTTGGTGAACCACTACATATGATTTTTTGTGGAGTAGTTTAAGGGGAATGCTTTATTTAAGGGTACAGAAAATGATTATTAAACGCTATGGACTTGCATTAAATCCTTTCAATGCCGAAGTGTGTTTCTACTATTTACCCCTATTTTAGTTTCAAATTTATCCATCTTTAAATCCATTAAATGTATTATCTTATATAGTTATTTTAAGAAGTAAACTTGAAAATAAAAATTAAATGCATGCTAAAACAAACACAGAGAATCAAGAATTCAAATATACAGGCTTCTAAAATGATAAGAATAGAGAAGGATAAAATTGAACAGCCATGGAAAATTGAGTGAATTATAAAATAATATAACATTTTGTGAAGCAGAATTTCTGGACCATATTCTCTTCGTGATTATAAATTTCTTTCTTGAACAGATTGCAAAGGTTGTATACATAACCTTCTTGTCTTTGTTATAAAATCTTCTTCAGTAGAGGATATTTGTTTCAAAAGGAGTTAATGTTCGTGTCTGTTGCTTTGTTTTGCTGGCTTGATATTTAATCCTGTATTCAATTTGTCATTCATCATACATCTTAATATTTGGTTATATGCCAAGTAATATTTCCCGTTATGCCTTTTACTAAAGAGTGATCCTGAATTTTCAGGTAGGCTTGGCCCTTGTAGTTGAAGGAAAGATTGTGCTAGGAGTTATGGGCTGTCCAAACTGGCATGAAGATATGCCTGGAAAATCTACCACAGCAGCCCTAGAATCCATAAATGTTTTTCCTGGATCTGGAATCATTATGGTTTCTCATATTGGCTGCGGGACATGGACTAAGCAGTTATTTGACGTGCTGAGTAGTACCAGAAAATCTCTTAGTAGTTGGACCAGATGTTCTGTTGATGGGTGTTGTCTTGTTCACGAGGCACGCTTTTGTATTCCAGATAGTCAAACATGGGAATCATTGCCTTTATCCACTTCATTTGATGCAACTACTAATCCTGAAAGTATTAATGACAAACAAATTCTTCTTCTCCCTACGTGTTGTGGAAGGTTTGCTTCTCCTCTGTCATTAGCAAGTACATTCACCTGCCATTTTCTTTTTAACTTGAAAATTTGAGTGGTGTATGTTGAGAAATAAATACTCTGTTGTGATTTGAATTGATCTGAATATTACTTATATGCTGTGAGATGTGGTTGACTTTTTGGTAGAACTACTGTAGATGGAGTTGTATACATTTAAGAAATGACCAAGTAATTTTATTTTCAAAAAAATGTTTCTTGGATGGCCTGAGTTAGAGTCTTTAATGCATACTAACTGCTCAGTTGTGGATTAGAGGTTTTGGGTTTCTGAAAGTTGTATTCCATGCTTTGGTGCTTATGTTCTGCTTTACATGGAATGCTGAGTAAATGGGAAGAAAACCATGTGAGGTTTTTCACTTGAATATATGCAAATATTAATCTATTAATTGGTGAATGGGATTAGTTTTGAGTCAAAGGTTCTGGTTTTTATGAAATTTTGATCTGAAGTATCTATATTTCCTGGTTCTGTATATTTCATGTTGAACCAAGTATCTGTATTCCCTGGTTTTTATATTTCATGTAGCACCCTGGAAGGAAAATTTGTGTTAGATAATTCTTATATCTCGGCCTTTTTGTTTGCATAAAGTACGTTATAATCAGTGAATTTAGAATAAGGGACGCAAGCTCTCAGCTGTTGTTTTTTGTCTGTGCCAGTGCATATATATCAGACAGAAAACACCTGCACATTTATCTTGATTACTTTGCCTTCACTTTCCAATCATTGCCAATTTCATACTAAAATATATCTTTATATTTTTATAGATACGAATGAAATGAGATAATTGACTATAATGAAGGATAGCTTAAATTTTATAAAAACATCATATTCTTGTAATCTGATCCTAAAAGTTATTTTCATCTATCCTGTTCCAGTTTTTGTTTTTTTCACTGTTTTAAGTTTTAACCCAATTTGTCTCTTACCATGTAGGGTATTGCACCTGATTGCCGGTATGGCAGTCTAGGAAAACACTTTGAGTTTGAAGTATCATTTTTATCCTAGCAACTCTAGACTGCTACTTCTGATCAATATCCACTTTGTAACAAGGCAAACACGCGGATTAGTTTTACGCAACTTGAGATGGTTGTCTGAACTGCTTGTAAAATGAATTGAGACATCTTTGTTTCACATGGACTGGACTGCATTACTTCCTCTAGTGGCATGGCATGTTTGATTTGTGCCACTTATTTATTTTTTTCTTTTATGTTTTTTCCTCTCTTTCATTTGAATGATGCCCTTTTTTCTCAACAAAACTAGAATGGTTATTTCCAGACCTTCATTGTCATTCTACATTTTTCCTTTCCCTTTTTTATCCTTTTCCCAGTTTGTGCAAGTATTTGACGGTGGCCGCTGGAAGGGCATCTGTTTTCATTCTTCGTGCGAGGTCACAGACAATTATCAAGGTGGCTATTTAATCTCCAATCATAAGATGCTTCTTTATGTACTAAAGTTTCTGTTATAAGTCATGATTCCTCCTCATTTAAACTACAGGCTTGGGATCATGCTGTTGGGATGATATGTGTGCATGAAGCAGGTGGGAAGGTATGCATCTCCCCACAGGCACTCTTTAATGTTTCATGTCAAAATGGTTTTTATTTTCTAGTTATACAAATTTTAAGAAAACATGCTGGCATGGGCAACTTAAAAACTGTTTTCTTTGTGCCAACGTGCATTTGTTTTTTAGCCTCTTTCCCATGTTCACTTCCAGCATTTTTAGCACCCAAGTGGTGTGTCGTCGAAGAATAAAATAAAATATGAAATAAGCTTTTTCTTCCTTACCTTCATCTTATGACAAGGTTTTTAGTCCATTGTGGTAATTATCCTCTTCTTTCTGAGATGGCTATCATATATCCTGATTAAATTTGTGAGTTTGATGTAATAAATGAAGTTGTTATTAGGTGACAGACTGGAGTGGGAGTAAGCTCGATCTTGCAGCTGATAAGGTTGAGCGGAGATTCATTTTTCCTTCAGGTGGTGTTCTTGTGACAAATAGCCACTTACACAGAGAGCTACTAGAGTTGATCTCATCTAATTCATCAGTTGCATAACGGTGCTGTGTGCTCAGTCCTACAATTCATTTACTTGTTATTTTTTATTACTCAAAAATGCGATTTCCATGATTCTTGACTGGCAACCATTGTGCTAGCTCTTCTGAGATCCTCAAATTTTTGAATTGTTATGCAAGGTCATTCATGTACACTACGCAGAAAAACAACATTATGTCAAAACAGAATATTAGAAGTTTCTTCTTTATTTCTAATTTCTTTCCTTCAAACTGTTGCTACCAGATCCTTAAAGCTAGTGGGTTCTTCCTTCATGTCCACTGTACATGTCGACCAATTTAATCGTGCACAATACATATTTCCATGGTTAAAATTTCCTTATTGTTTATGGCATAATCTTGCTGGTAACACATGGAAAATCTGGCACATCATCTGAAGGAGAAGATAGCTTTCTTACAAGACAGTTGGGCTGAAACTTAGCTGTGTGCTGTACATGCAATAAGCCGAACGAAACAAAGGCTGAGGGGATATGTACATGCTTCTAGGAACTTAACTGGGTGAATTTTGTTTTCTTTAATCTTGATTTTGGAAATAGGAAGTGCATGGAAGTAAAGCATTTACATAGTCGGGGGTATATGAAAGTTGGATGACAGAGCATGCCAAGCTTTTCTTCCCAAGATTGCCCTGTCAAAACTGAGAAGATTGCTACGGATACCTAAAACTGAGACTGCATTATCAGATGCAAGCTAAACCGGCACCAACGCGTGGAGTTCGCACGTGAAGTGATGATTCAGCATCCAGGGAGTTCAACCATCCGCCTTCATGGAAGGCCCACGTGGCCCCAGTTGCTTGCATGCAACGCTTCAAATGCCCTGTCTTTAGGGTAAGTTATCTAAACTGAGGTCTGCATGCCCAATTGTCTACCTCCGCTATCATTTACGCGTGAGTTTTCTGTTTTCATTTTAGATGGCTATTCCTAGTCAACCCAGAAGCATAGACAGCTTATTGATGAAAATCAGCACAAGCAAACCCCGAGTAAGGACAAGTAATTAGCCCATTGAGTACTTTAAGATAGAAGCATTGTGTAATTTAATACTTCATTGTGATTTATTTGATATTATAATCAGAATTTTTAATATTTATTTAGTTATTATCAAAATTAATATTTAATATTAATTTAATACTTACTAAACTTACTTACTGAACAAGTGACTGTGATTATTGGGCGGTCAGACGTGCACAGCAACATTGGTGGATCATAATATAACGTTTGACCTCTATGTTTCGTTGATTGAGGTAGACGAAGCTCGATGAGATCGAGACAGCATACGCTTCCATAAAATTACCAAAATGCCACTGGCAGGACAGGTGGCAACCCCCAACTGAACGAAAAGAAAACAGGTAAGCCCGTACCCCTTGTAGACTTCATTAAATAATTAAAAGGCAATTAATGTTTGACTTTAATGACTTTTGTTTTGTTAAGACTCTCTCGCTCTCCCACAACTTCCACATCAAAGATTTGTACGGGGGGCCTGTGGACAGCTAAAGCGTCAGGTATTGGCGACGTGGCAACCTTCCTACAGGCCAACGTGGTCATCCTTTTCTGCCCAGTCTGGTCCCACATGCGAGGGCTGTCGGCGATTTGTCCTTACATGCGGAAAGTAATAATAAAATATTTATATATTTTTTCTTGTCATTTTGATTAATAGAATTAATATTGAAATTTAAATCTATGAATTTGTTTTATTAAACGATATTGAAGAAAATAATTTTAGATTTGCATGAATAAAAAAGAAAACTTTTTTTCTGAAACTTGTAATAATAACAAGTCTTATTTTAAAATTATTGGTTAAAATTTAATCTGACATAAACGATAAAAATAATTTTTTAGATGAAACATTTATTTCTCGTTCTTAACATCATTTGTTACGTTGCATTTTTCTAATTTTTTTTTGATTATATATCGTTTTATGCAAAATAATTAACTACAATTGTAGATCTATTAATATGGTGTTTAACAATGAAACGTGATATTTATATATTTTTTCATTACAAATGTGTTTATATTTTTTATTTTTATTAGGTATTTTGGACTTTTTTTTAATATGTGACTCATTATTTCAGCTACCAACAATTAAGCAAATTCAATATTCTTCAACAATATAAATATTTCAATATTCAGGTAATTACGCTGTAGAATATTTACAGGTAACGAACACCAAATTGTTTTATACAAGCTTATTAGTTATTTATAAATAAGAATATAAATATAAATGTATAAATTTAATCCTTTGCATTTTTATGTATTTTGTAAAAACTGGTAATAACAAAAAATGAAAAATTTTAATGGCCAATGGCTTATAAGAATATACGAAGACACGAAGAATTATTTTTTCTATTGAGGATATATATATATATAAGAAAAAGGGGAAGAGAGAGAGAGAGAGAATAACAAGGTTAGTATTGAGGATATATATATATAAGAAAAAGGGGAAGAGAGAGAGAGAGAGAGAGAGTATCAAGATTAGTAAAAATAATGACGTTATCACGAGAAAATAAGGGACAAATTTTGGTGCATGTTCAAAAAGATCTGGAATAAATATATTATAATATTAAATTAAAGATTAAAAAATGATAATTTTAGACTAAAATTTTGATGATATGAGGTTATAATACTTATAATAGAAGAGGTATTTAAAAATTATAAATTCATTAATTATAAATTTAAGTGGATAGATTAAGTAGTTTAAGATTTTTCTTAGTGTATTTATAAAACTATTCTAATATTTATTTTAATTAATAATTTTTATTAATTACAAATGATAAAATTTAATCCAATTAATTAAATGTATAATTTTGATTTAAAATTTAAACGAAAATATAATTATTTTCAAAAAATTAATTTACTTACTAATTAAGAGAAATTTTATAGCAGAATTAGATAAAATATAGGCAAAGGATTCTCATGTAACGGAGATGTAGTGGGTCCCGGTGGCATATGGCTTGCACGACGACACGTATCAGTTCCGTTGTCTACGTCACACACGAAGACGTTCTTGCTTCAGTGAGATTAGCTTGCCTGGAGTTCATCTTTGCGTAAATAATTCTTTATTTATGGGGAAGACATGTATTACCATATTTATAATTAACTTTTTTGAGAAAAAATTAATAAATTATGTAGAATAAATAAAACTCCCCTCACTTCTAATTTATTTAAATAATACACAATTTTATTCTTATTATAAAAAATATTTTTCTTATTTAACTAACTGTTAATTAATATTACTTAACAATTTTGTTAAAAAAGACGTAAAATTAACCTAATTTTGTATATTTTAATTACTAATCTTATTAAAAATTAAAATATTATTTGATTAACTAATTTTTTAAATTTTTAATTTTTAATTTTTTAAAAAAATCTAACTTTTAATCATTTAAATTAATTATTTTTTAACATTGAATAATTGTTAATTTTATTATATTTTTATTTTTATTTTAAATATTAAAATAAGAATGATTGAATGATACTTAAGTAAAAAAAGAATAAGTGTCATTTAAATTTAAAAAAGTTAAATAAAATTAAAATATTATAAAATAAAAATTTTAAAAATAGTATAATTAAGTTATTCAAATGTTAGATTTTTTATTTTTTAAAAATTTTAATTTAAAAGTTTAAATTTTTGAAATAAAATAAATAATATTTTAATTTGTAAGTAGATGAATAAGTCAAGTTAGTGAGTAGGGTAAAGTTACACTCATATTTTTTTAATAAAATTATTAAACATTCGTTTAGTTAATAAATAATTAAAAAAATTCTGGATAAAAATGATATTGGGTTTTTTATCTAATTATTTAATATCGACTGACTCAGAGCCAACGAATATTATCGGCTTGGCTTGGCTTGGCTTTAGCTCGGTCGTGTCTCGGTTAATGTTCTTCTAACTTAGCTTCGAAAACGATTGTTGTACAAAAGCTGCACTAACATAGTGGGAAAGTCTTAATTGTGAGCATCTAAGTCTAACGGAGAATTTTAGCCCAATCAAGCCTTGTCAAACAATACGACGACGTAATGGGTAGGGCTATTGGCCCACTTGAGCGAGGTGTTTAAAATTAAATTTCGAATTAAATTTAATCATATTAAAATTTAATTAATTGACAACTCTACACACATCCAATGTTAAGGACTATAAAACCCTAAAAATATTATTTTATATAAATTTAAACATAACCCTAAAGTCTATGTTAAGGACTATCAAACCCTAAAAAATATTGTTTTATATAAATTTAAACATAAGTCTATTGAATTAAAATCTACGATTAATAGTTGACACTAAAACCTAGTTTGAATTTTTGGTAGTTTGAAAGAGAGAGAGAGAGGGGGGGTGGGGGGGATAGATGGTCCATTAAATTGGGCGGAAGCCTCTTTCTCCTTTGATTAACATGATCATGTGGTAGGATAAGCTCTTGAAGTTATCAGAAATTTGGAAAATTTTGAGGGTGATGTGACATAAAGTAAGGTCAAATGTCTCGCTAGGTACATATATGCCACATGCAATTTCACTTTAACAAGTAAAGTCTAATTTTTATGTTGACCACTTCCTTAATTAAATGCATTTTCACTCTTGTTGATAATGTTTGTTGTCAATAATTATGACTAATTAATCCTACTATTTCTACCTAAATGATTGGTTTGCACACTATTAGCTAAATATCTATGGGTTACAAAATTCAAGATTTTAAATTTTTTCTATTAAAAAATTGATATGAAATATAATTTGTATGAAATTTTTTACCATAAGGTATATAATACATGCTTATAGTTTCATTATTGCATAATGATGACAACTTCGAAGGCAGAGTTGGAAACTATGCATCTTATTTCCGTATTATTGTTAGTCAGGACAAAATGGAGATTTCTGTGAGTTCTTATTTTTTAATTTTTATTTAATAAATACCCATTAATACTAATAGAATATATAATATTTTATAATTATGAAGAATATTATAAATTATTTAACTATAAATTATTTAAAATAAATATATATTATCAAAATAAAATATATTATGTAAATTTGAGTTTCAAAACCCTGTTGGGGGGGGGGGGGGGGGGTGAAAGTGTCTTCCACGTTCTTGTCTCATCCTAAGGTCGAAAAATAGTTTACCATAATGAGAAGACTGGTTTGAAAAGAAACATGGTAAATTTTCAATCTATTATTACTGCAAAAAAAAGATAAATTCTGTGTCGGCAAGGGAAAAAAAAATAGGAATCAGAACTGGAATTGGATTTGAAATTTTATGAATTTTAAATAATCCAAGTCTCGGTTTAGTACTTAATAGAAAACAAAATTTGATATGCAGAAATTTTTTTAGTGTTTAAAAAAAATGAAATTTAGAATTAAAAATAAAATTATTATTATTATTATCTTTATTTTTAATAAATTATGAAAAAATTGTTGCTATTATTTACAACAAACAAATAACTTTAAATTCTTCTATTTAGAAATAAAAATATTAAAATTTATAATAGTCACGAACTATAGAATTTGAAATATTTTGTAACAATTTAACTACCATTCTATAACAAGTATGAACAAATTGAGAAAAAAAAATATAATTGAATAACTTCAAATTCAAAATATATTAAAGATGTTCAAATATAGTCAAATAATTATTTAGAAAATTACTTCAAATGTAACCAGATGTCCATACTTCATAAATAAAAAATAAAAATAAAGAAAAAAATTCGTTACTCTCCCCCTCCTCCAAGGTGAGGAAAATGTCTATTTAAATCCATATTTATTTTGCAATAAACCGTGATTAATTAATTTTAACATTTTTTGCCATTTCTTGGTAAATTAATTGAAATTAACTTTTGATATTTTATAATATAAAATTTCACTTTCTGTATATATAAATTAATTATAAAAATTATGAAATTAATGTTTATAATGTTTTATGGGTTACAAAATTCAAGATTTTAAATTTTATTTTTAACTAAAATCTGGTATAAAATATAATTTATATGAAATATCTTATAAAAAAAATTATTTTCACAAGTATATGAGATATGCTTCTATTGTCATTATTTCACAGCGATGATAACTAATAAGATAGAGTTGGAAATTATGTAGCTTATTCCCATAGTTGAGAAAAATTGGAGATTTTTGTGAGTTTTTTTTTTTTGGGTAATTTTATTCCACTTAATAAACATTTATTAATACTAATAAAATATAAAATTTATTATAATTATGGTGAATGTTATAAAATTAGAATATTGTAAAATTTAACTATAAATTATTTAAAATAATAAAAATATATCATATAAAATCAAGTTTCAAAATCCCAAGGGGTGGAAAGAGTCTTCCTCATTCTTGTCCCATCTTAAGTAAAGAACGAAAATTGCTTATCACCCGAATCAGAATGGATGAGAACAGATTTGAAAAGGGACGAGATAAGTTGTCAAATTCTATTATTTTATTACAAAGATAAAACATAAGAAAGAGATCTAAACAAAAGCTGTATCTTGAATGAAATCCAATAAAGCAGATTTCATTTTCTTCGTTTTAATAGTAAATGCTTCTCGTATTTGGACAATCATCCAACTCTATTATTGTCCTTTTTAATGCTTATTTCTCACCCTCTCGTTATGCATATCTACATTTTCTACCCCTAATATTGATGATCATTAATTATTTTCTATAATTGATATTTATCATCACGTGATCGAGCTCTAATTGGACTAGATTCATTTCCTCGATTTTAATTAGAGAAGAGGGCATCAAAATTTGTCCTTGCTTGCAAAAAATTAATAGGATTAATTTCTCCGCTTATTACGAGTACATGATATATAATTGATAAAATTATAATATAGACACTGTGTTCCAACCTTATTACTTGTAGATGAAAGAAAATGTATCTCAATTTACGTGTTCATTAGGTTGAGAGTGACAATTTTGTACTTGACGAATCTTTAATTTACCAATTAAATTTAGTTTGCGTTACGAATAAGCATAACTTAGGATCCAAGATTTTGATTTGGGTGTCGTATTCCTATATCTTTATTTGCTCGCGGATAAATGTCATTTCAATTGTCACGCTCTTGAGGCTAAGATTGCCCATTTTATGACCCAATTCATGTTAACTAACCAACAAAACCTAGTTGAAATATAAATTAGCATAATTTAAGATCTGAGGCTCTAATTTAGATGCCGTGTTATAAACTCTTTACGTGTACATGAAATAAGGTGTCAAGTTTTTCTTTTTTGGTTTAAATAATTGTTAAACCATGAAAAAAATTTGAACTCTTGTAAAAAATAATAATAATAATAGTAACAATAACGACGACAACAATGACGACGACGATAATAATAATAATAATAATAATAATAATAATAATAATAATAATAATAACTGATTTGGAGGGTATTTAAGTAAATTTAGGGGAAGACGTGATTAACGTGGCTAGCTCAAATGAAGTCGGCTGGGAGGAGCCATGCAGAGAAGGAAGGTAAGATAAGGAGCCCTAAAGGAGGCTCAGTGGGGCCTGTGAAGCTGGGACGCGGCTTATAGCGGAAAGGCAAGGATGTATATACGTGGCCTAACATCTACATGACAGCTAATACGAATCTAGAAAGCCAAGAGAGACTTCCCGCCGGAAAATGATGTGTATGACGTCAGCGATGGAAATATCGTTTGATATTAAATTAAATCTATTTATTTATTTTTTTATTAGGAGATTTCAAAAATATTTACTATTTTAAACTTTTTTTTACATGTATTATTTGGTTTCATATCAGTGTATGAAAATTATGTTATATATAAAATTTTAAATATATTATTATCAAATAACTTAAAATTAAAAATTTTGGGTAAATTATTCAAATTGAATGAGTTATTAAAGTCAATAGTTTTAAAGTTGATACAAATAATATTAAAAAAATTTTAAGTCCGTTTTATTTTATTCTATTGAATATTAATTCACATTTGTAGGAAGAAATTGTAATATTTAATTGCACTTTGGATTCATAAGTATGAAATTGTATTATATATAAAAATCTAGAGTCTTACAACTAAATAATTTGATTTTAGGTAGTATTTATGGATTATTATAATATTTCTTTTTTATTTATAAAATTTTTAAGTTTATATAGAAGCTCAAGCCCCTATGTGAAAAATAAATTATTTTTAGAAATTTCTCAATTAAAAAATGTTATCTATTAAAGTAAATTTTTCTCAATTAACCTGTATAATCTATAAAATCAGAAAAGAGAAAGGAAATTGATTCGTTAAATAAGAATTTGTTTTGAATATAGGGCATATTATTTGTATTTTAATTCAAGTATTTTGATATGTGTGTGTGTGTGTGTGTTGTGAGTAATGTAATTGGCATCAAATTTTTAATTTTTTTTCTTAAAAAAGTGAAAAACAATTCTAGAGGCTCTGAAATGTACGACTTCACATACGACTAACGGCCAAATCTCTCTCTAAAAATTTTACCATGAGAGAGAGGGGGCTTTTCACGTTTTCTCCAAAAACAGGGGACACGTCGCGTTTGTGATAAACAGAGGACGGCACCGAATCATTTTGACTTTCCGCAATCTTCTCTTACGATTGCTACACTATTTAACCAAGTCACCTCCCATACGGAGTTACATCTTGTCTCTCTTCTCTCCTCTTCCGTTGCAAATATCCCTTTCTCTCTCTCTGAAACTGTTCAATTAATCCGAAATAAAATAAGTGCACCAACTCATCACCATGGTAAGAGCACCTTGCTGTGACAAGAATGGACTGAAAAGAGGTCCGTGGGCTCCTGAGGAAGATCAGAAGCTCGTCGATTACATTCAGAAGAACGGCTGTGGAAACTGGAGAACTCTTCCTAAGAATGCTGGTATGCTTTGCAGCTACGCTTAATTTTCTCTCTTTGATTAATTGCTTTTCATTGTTGATGAAATTCAAGAACAAATATGCGAATTATATCGTTGCAGGGTTGCAGAGGTGTGGAAAGAGCTGCCGCCTTCGCTGGACCAACTATCTCAGGCCTGACATCAAGAGGGGCCGATTCTCCTTCGAGGAGGAAGAAACAATCATCCAACTCCACGGCATGATGGGCAACAAGTAAGCTCTAGCTAGCCTCTCTTGGCACTTTTAAATTAATAATTAATTAAGCTACTTTTTCATTTTAAAATCATGTGCAGAAATTTTGATATGATTGCGTGTTGTCTTCTTATGTAGGTGGTCAGCAATTGCTGCTCGCTTGCCGGGAAGGACAGACAACGAAATAAAAAACTTCTGGAATACCCACATCAGAAAGAGGCTTCTCCGGATGGGAATCGATCCTGTGACCCACAGCCCTAGGCTCGATCTTCTGGATATGCCTTCAATTCTAAGCTCTCAGATGAGTCTATCAAGCTGGCTCGGTGTTCAACCTCTTGTCAACCAGAGCTCCTAAAAATAGCCACTTCTCTATTATCCTCTCAAAACGTTCAAAACGGCCAAACTAGCACTCGACAACTGGAAAACCAAATGTTTCAGCAAGACCCAGTACATGAAATCCCAGTTTGTACCACGTTAACCACACCTTGCGGCAATGTTCCGTATCCCAGTGAAGCCCAAGTTATGAACTCAAATGGAGAACAGTTCTCTTGCAATAATCTCTGTCAGCTAAATGAATGGGACAGCAATAATTTGCCTTCCAACTTGACAGGAGATATTTATGTTTCTGATCTCCAAAACTATGTACTTTACGGATCTGAACAAAGCATACTGACGGAGCCGCTACCTTCAGAGACCTCCAACTCTGCTTTCCAGTCACATGGCGGCAACACCTTTGGCTTCCTGTCCGTTTTGTCAACGCCACAGTCGAGCCCGACGCCGTTGAACTCGAGCTCCACAAATCTCAATGGCAGCACCGAGGACGAGAGAGAAAGTTACTGCAGCAACAATAATATGCTTAATGTTGAAAACTTTGGACTCCCGCAGATGATAAATGTTGGTGAATTTATGTAACTGCATGCAAATCTAACTGTAACTTATGATCATCAGAGAGTTTTTGATCCCTGAGCTTTCTCTCTGTTTGTCTTTTTTTTTTATTGTGCTTAATTTCATTGTTAAATCTTTTAAAAATTGTTTTGATATCTCCAAACTCAAGATGTGTCCAGAAATGTGCCATTGTCGTCCTGTTTATGTGAGCTTGTTACTCTCAATTTTTAATGTCTACTACCTGGGATGCATCTCATCAAACACATATTGATCTCAACAATGTCGAACGGATAGAGTAATAAATTATTAAATTCAGCAGATATTTCCTCTCTGTCTCCCAGATTAATGATTAAAATTAATACAAGCAATTTATGCAAATTAAGTTCAAGTATTTAAAGAAAAACATGAGTAATTAATCCCATGAAAAGGTAATTTTCATATCTTTCTCCCGAACCTATTTTATTTGATAGCCTAGATTTTTGTTTGGGACGTCGTTTTCATTTTTGTGAGTTCTTTTAACAAGTGTCACAAAACTGGGAGATATATATCTTAATGAATTTAAGATAAGCACAATTATTTTGGCTTGCCCAAATTAGTAATCAACGTCTATATGTAGAAAGATAAAAATTCAGGTTTATTAGGCATTAAAAAGAAAACAAAGGTTTCGTCAATCCCGACAGCACAAGTCCTCTGCCGGCGACAGTGCCGGAAGGAGCTGCCGAGATGGGGACGCAGACGCGTTCCCGCCACTGGGAAGATAAACTGAGCTTTCTGGCGATGAAGTTGATTGATGTATATAATTAAATGTATGTGCATGGCGATTAGGGGCTAAGATCAAGCCTTTGACCATGTGGCACGTGTCCGCTCATCAGCGGTGGATAAGTTGTGGGGACCACTTAAAAGAGGTTTGCTTTTGTTTTAAAGTTAAAACTATAGCGTGGTTCCTGTGCCGATTTAGTGCTTTTTACTGTGACACCACCTAATTTCGGGCAGTGTCAAACATGGCCTTAAATGGGTTGCACGTCAGCACCGATAACACGTGGACCTTATTACGCAAGTGGGTCCCATTGGTAACCCGTTTGACCGGGGGACGGCGAACTTTTCAAGACTTGCTCATCTTGTAGCATTAAGTTTGACAACAAAAACCGAATTTATTAACTCAGATAAGTGAAATTTATTTTTTATAATAATTCCAATAAATTTATTAATTGTTATTGGTAATTACTCTTAAAATTTCTGATAAATATTAAAAGAATTAATTTATTAGGATAATTTCTAATATCAAATATAAAAAATAATTCAATTTTGTTAATTTAGACGAGATATTATCTGAATTTCTTCTTGCTTTTGGGCCCTATTCCACGTTTTATTACAAATTGAAAAGTTCTTTTACAGCTTTCTAAAAGCTAAAGTCGCCAAATGAAGGCCTGCTCTGTCCCACACTTTGATCCATGTTGGGTCTCAACTTCATACTTGAAGAAAATCAAGGACAACCATACAATTCATTTGTACCAAGTGACATCTTATCCTAACTATCCCCATGACATATATTGATATATAGAATTTTTAAAGGTAATTATTAAGTAATATATTATTTTGGTGATTTAAATTTAATAAGGTATTAAGATTCACAGTTTTCAAATTATTATAAATATTATCAGATACTATAAAAATGATTTTGAGAATTTATTTAAATTTAGATCTTATCTGACATATCGAAAATTTAAACATAAAAACTTATGATATCCTGTTTACACACAATTTAAGTGGTCGTTTAAATTTAAAAATTAATAAATAAGTCAGGCGTCAATTACTGCATGTAAAAAATCTCATGCATGTAAGCCATGCGTCAGTTACACGTAACTCTACATGATGAATTAGAGAGAGAGAGAGAGAGAGAGAGAGAGAGAGAGAGAGAGAGAGCGAAGCGGGCGGAGATAACACGTTCGGAGCATAAGGGTGACAACCGCCCCAGCAATTGACTATCAACCGACCAGACCCAAAGGCTCCATAAGTCGGCCGTCCAAAGAAAAAGCTCTTCAAGGGTTTGAACGGGCACGCAGAGGAGGAGGCTCCAAAGTGGGTTTATGTATTTATTCGTTTTTCACCGGCCAATTTTCTTGCAACAGCTTGTTTTCGGTTTTTGTTTTGTTTCCTTGTTTTCCTTGGATCCGAAAACAAGACCCGTACAGCATGTGGGTTGCCCTGGTGCAATTTCGTGAAAAACGTTTCCTTTACATTTTCATTCGTGGTGCACTCACCACCTTTCATTCTTTCGCCTTTGAGCTGGCACTTCTTTGAAAATTCTACACACAGTTTTTTTTTTTTTTTTAGTATTTATTATCAATTTTTTTCTTTTTCTTTTTTCTGAACCAAAGTATACAAAGCTAGTTTCTCCTCTCTCCCCCCCCCTCTCTCTCTCTCTCTCTCTCTATATATATATATATATATGTACGCAAAAAAATTTCATACATATATGTATATATATTAGAAATTATAAATATAATTTTTCTTTTTATAGAGCTGTAAAGAGATCAAATTTTGTTAAAATTAGGCAAATTTAAATTTAAATCTAATTTGCCATTTTTATATCTAAATCCAATCTAAAATTTTATAAAATTTATATATATTAAACCATATCTGAAACTAATAAATAATTTAAAATTTAATAAAATAAATCTAATACGATAAGAAAATAATACATTTTTATACTTAAATCTCTTAATTTTATTCCATTAATAATATTTGTCTCTAATTTTTATGATTTTTTTCAATTTAATTCTTACAATTTTAAATTTATTAATATTATATTTATAAAATCATTATTAAAATTTGAATTTAGATTCTTAATAGATCAAATTACTTAATTTTATATGCGATCTGCTTATTTTAAATTATAGATATTTATAATCAGATATGATCTATAAAATATTTTAATTAAATTCGAATATTAAAATTAGAATCTTAAAATTTAAATTAGATTTGAATTAAAATTTAACTCATTAACAATACCACTTCTCCTTTCTTTTTCCTTTTCATTTTGTATGTATTATACTATTTACAATATCTAACGGGTGTGAATGCTTTATCAAGAAGATATTGATATTGGGCATTCTGACTTGAGTTTTAGAGGAACTAATTTTACTATTGATTGATTCAAGTATAAGCTTGTGTTGTACCTATCAAGGTGTGTTGAAATTCTTCAGATTCAATGCATCGTCTGCATTACTATTATTAGGAAAATGACATTTTCGGGCTGGAGAAATTCAAATCACTAGTAGCTCCATCGAAGGAGAGATAAACAAAAAGATTAAATCAGCTTCACCAGTCTTCTTTTCATTGTCATCCCCGTTCAAAATTCCAAAAAAAAAAAAAGAGAACTCCATGAAATTGTTTATCTATCAACATTTCGTAATGGATTTTTGCAAAGAGTTTATTTGAATAATTAATTTTAATTAAAAAATTATTAGGACTAACAAATCTTAATTTCTATAATAATTCTTAACATCTTTTATTTATGAAGCAAAAAGCCTTCTTATTTTACACGATGTGTATATATGGAAAAAGGGCCTTAAAAGGGAAAAAAAATCTACTTTAGCTTTTTCAACTGAATAAATCCAGGGGTTGTCAGCTTTTCTAATTTTGTATTTTTATAGGTTTGGCAGGTCTTCTATTTGCACTAGGACTTGTGATTACTGGCTTCTTTTTTCCGTCCCCAATCACCCATCATGATTAGGAGTGCGCAAATCATATTTGCACTAGGACTTGTGATTACTGGCTTCTTTTTTCCGTCCCCAATCACCCATCATGATTAGGAGTGCACAAATCAAATCAATTGATCAAATTAAGTCAAATTAAATTGAATTTTCAACACTCAGTTGATTTTTATTAAATTTGAGTTGATTTTGTTTTGATCAAATAAATAATTTAATTTTATAATTTGGTTGAGTTTAAAACCAAAATCAAACTATTTTAATCTATAAATCAAAAGTTTGAAATTTTGTTTTTAATAATAATTTTTCCTCTCTTATAAAAATTCTAAAAATTTGGTGGAAATAAGCAAAGTTTAATTATAAACAAGGAGAGGTTTATTGGATGTGTTTTTAGGGTCCAAAATTATTTTTAGACATTTTTTTGGTAAATTAGTGAGAGTTTAAAAAATACTTTCTTATAAATTACTTGTCAAATATCATATGATAATAATATTTATGCGTTTGGGTGCACACATACACACACTTACACACACATATTGTTTATATGAAAACATAATATGTAAAGATTAAAATACTAATAGATAAATTTTAAAGAATATATACAACCATATCTCAGTATTAAGGAATTTAGATATATTTTTTTACAAAAAAAAAGAGTTCATTCATCTTTAAATTATCATATTTACATGAAAAGATTATATAATAAAAAAATTAAGATATACCTTTAAATTATTATAACTATATGTTCTATTAAATC